GTGTGTGTGTGTGTGTGTGTGTGTGTGTATTGAACTATTCTGGTAGAAAGATAATTAAGGTGTGTGTATTTATCATATGTGCCTATTATTTATATGCATGAGAATGTATATCAAGTGATGTAGTAGTTTATGTTTATTTACTTTCTCATTCTGCTACAATTAGCATACATTACTGTGGAGTAGAAAAGGGAGGCATAAAATAAATAATCACCACAATGTGTTACTATGGACATAAAGTAGAGAAGTTTTACACAGAACTGTTTTGCAGTGATGCTCACCATACAGTAACCTGCAGCTGTACTGCCCACCCTTTGATTTAATTTTTTTCAACAGATGATTTTTTTCTCTTTGATTTTTGAGGTGACATCTTTAGATAGGAACTGTGTTATGCAAATAAATGTGACCAAAAGATCCATTTATAAATCCAAGTCCTTTCTACTTTCTGTACACTTTGATTTGCAGCTACTTCATTCCCAATTTCTGCCCAGCAGACAGATTCATGACTTACTATTAATTTCCTAGTAGATTCACTTATTTTAATAGAAGTTGTTTTTCATCTCGTATAGGGCATCTCGTAATTCTATGTTTAATTATTCTACCCAATCAGGATTATGAACATAATTTCAATAAGAACAAAGCGGTCATGAGCCAAGACTTGAAAACAGATGCCAAAGTCCAATTAATCAAGAGCTAAATGCCAGAGCCCAAGTCTGCTAATGATAACAAATACTCTAGCAAGGACAATAAACAATCGAAGACCTCAATGCTATTTGTCTTCATTTTTGCCCCTTTTGGCATATAACATAGTACAATAATCAAAAGCTAAAACAGAATCTGATCAATCATGAGCATCACATATTAGAAAAATAACCCACTGGAAAGACTTCTCAACTTATATACATGAGTTACACAAGAAGTTAGGTAAAGAAATAAGCTACAATTTGGCAGAAGGTTTGTAAAAAGCTGGGTACCTACTTCTCAGTGATACATTCATCTGTACTTGAAGGCTTTCAGCTGTTCTATAGTTCTCTACAGCCAGAGTCCTGATCTAGGTTTTGAAGCCCTAATTCTTAGGCACTTATCAGTGGCTTATATTCTTTTTTTGCTCTCATTACATTTTCCTTTCATTTATAGCCTGTATATTCCTATATTTTAAGGGAAAATGGTGACCAGAACTGATGGGTTTTAGTCTGTTATTTCACTATTTTAATACAAGGTGGAACTTAAGCAGAATAATCCAAAATCTCCCCAGATTATCTAGTTTTGTAAGTGACTTACTGTGAATGAGTCACTTTTTAAAAGGCATGCATAAATGGATGCACAAAAGGTTAAGAAATAATTGTAATAAGTTTGGCTATAGGTGATTTTTGATAAATTAATACATCTCTTAAAAATGTTTAAGGAGAAAAAGCTGTAAAAGTCAGAAAAACAAGATTTGATTCTTAGAATTTCTTTACTGCATAGTTAAAAACGAATGCAAATTTTATTCATATGTGTAAACTAACAGGAATCTGTTTTAAATTATGACTTAAAAACTTTTATTGGAATACTCTGATAGAGAAAAAATGATATAGATAATTTTGGTTAGCTCAAAGAAATTATGTTATTACAATGTTATTAAAAGCTCACTTACTGAGCACTGACTACATGCCAGGCTCTAGGTAGATCTGAGTCCTAGTTAGACCACAGAAGTGAAGCAGAGAAGAGTTAGGAAAGCCATCCAACATCATGCAAATAACCAGAATTTAAACTTGGTCACTTCGGGAATTCAAGTTCTTAAAATAACCTAATGCAATCCAATAAAATGCAATCACTATAGAGATACAAAGCTGAATTGCAAAGATGGGAAGATAAGAACAATTTTTTTCCCAACTAATGCTGATGCTAAAATATATTGCTTCAATGATTTTACTATGAGGGCAGAGACTGCAAGCATCCGGCTTCCTCTCTTAAATTCCTAAACCCTTACTGATGATTCCAAATAAGCAATTAAAACCAATTTCTACAGATGTAGCATATGAATAGAAATATTAATTTATAATATCCACCAGTAATGTGCATAAGGAAAGTACAACCTGTTCAATAGTGTTTAGTATTTATTATAATGGTAATGAGACAAATATTATTTTAAAATTTATTTCCCTGTTGAACATAATTATGATATTTTAAATTAGAAGTGAGACTGCTGAATTCTGCTTTTATGCTATAACATATCCTGTAGACCATGTCCATCAAAGCTGCTGAATCCTGTCTGAAGAAATCAGATATTACATATTTAAAAACCGTATACTTTCAACTGTTTCAATTCAATTTGAAATCTTTCAGGAGTTCCTCCTATATGGCAAAATTCCAAGATACTCACAGTAGAGGATACAAAAGGCACATGCAAGCTTGATAGAGGAACTGTTTAGTAGACAAGGAAGGCCTTTTTAATGCTTTTAACTATTTGAAATTCAAAGCAAAAACAAGTGGCCTAACCAAAAGATTTCTTGGAACTGGGAAAGCAGGCTGAAATATAGCACAGAAAGACTCAAGTCCACTCTATACATTCATACAGTACCTGGGAGCTGAATCTGTGAACATCGTCAGAGGCACTGACTAGATCAATGGAAGACATGGAGGAAGAGCGACTATAGGGCTACCAGAGACAGACAAAGAAAAAACCAAGTAATCAGAACAAAGGCACAACAGAGCATTCAGTACCAACTTCCAAACACGAGATAAAGAGAGAGAACAAAGCACTATATGAAACAAGCTCGGCAGCAAGTGCTGACTCCATGCACCTATTATGTGTTATGCTCCAAAATCTTTCTAAAATGAATGTAGTGCTTTCAATAATATAATACCACTTAACCCCAAAGAAAAAAGAAACTTAATATAACTGGCTATGCTTTTGGCTATTTTGGACTAGTCATTTCCTATCCCTTTCCCCTCCCTTTCCCTTTAAATAAAAAAGAACATTATGTTCATAAGAAGGTTCCTAACTATTTTGGAGGATGTATATGGAAGAAAACATAGTACCAAAAAATCTCATTACTTAAGTTCAAGAAAAGGGAGAAAATCTATACAAAATAGTTCCATCAACAGTGAAGAACAATACAACATATACTTTCAGTAAACTCTGACGTTAGGCTTACCTTTTGGACAAATCTATGAGTCCCCACAGAAGAAAAGGCATCTCCAGATGGCATGGATGTAGGCCAATGTAACCTGACCTTCTCGCTCTGTGACTAAGAAAACACATGTTAAGATGCTAAGATTTTTAAGTGTATTTTGCTGCTAAAGAATGGTTAATATAACCTATAACCTGGAACTATCAATATTTAATTATTGAACACTTCAGTACTTAGGTGGTAGGCAGTTAAACAGACAAGAGCAGAGCAAGGACGACAGTCCAGGTAGAAGGACAGCAGGACGGAAAATGCCAGGTGCCTAGCTATGGGCAAAACTGGGAAACCAAGGACCTCACTCCCCAGGTTAACACCTTTCCTCCTTATTGCTAGTCATGCGGGTTAGACTCCCTTAGAGAGGGAAAGAACAAGGGGGGCAAGAGGATAGCCTCATAAGACTATTCATACAAGCCCCTGCATGTCCACTTCCTTAAGGATTAAGCCCCCAGGACAATGAGGTTCTGAACCACATCAGATAATCTTAGGAACAAAGCCATGGGTCTGTTGACTACAGGGACAGAGTTTAGGTTAAACAAGGGATAATTCTAGGCCTCAGTTGTGTTTCAGCTCCAGGCCCAGAAAAGCAGCCAAACCGGACAAGTGACCCCATGGCTGACATCAGGACCAGCTGTGGTGATTAATGATCCCTGCCCTGGCACCGACAAATCAGTAGAGACCAGGACCCTGAAAGAACACATCTGGAAAGCCAATGAATATTCTACTGGGATCCTCCCTGAGACTGCCAGACAAATACCCTCAAAACAGAGGACCCAGCCTGGCTCTCTCCATGGAGCACACCTGGACCTTTCCCCACCCTTGCCCCCAGGCATGTTTTCCTTGCCTCTGTCTTTCCTAAGCTCCAAGGACTCTTCTTTTGCCTCTATAACTTGGTTCCTGAGCCCATTTCTTCTATGATTCACTTCTTCTATCCCTGTGACTTTCTAAATAAACTTTTGCTTGTGTTTGAGTCTTGGCTCTGAATTCTTTCTTAGCCAGAATTCAAGTACAGAGGTTGCTGAAATGAGGTCCGATCTGACTCCACAGGTCTAACACACACCTGGTGCCATTTTGCCGCCAACACTTATAAATACTTGAATGATGAAACTACTCTAAAGATATAAACCTTGCCAAATACTGACATTTTTATGTGTCCCAATTCAATCTCTTCTTTTTGGACTCCACAGTTACTAACTTAGACCATGGATCAGTTTTTTTATTTTGCTCCTAGTCAGACTCTCCAATCCCAACATGACATCATTTATGATGCCATGAATTAATCTTAACACTGCTGATTTTCTTATCCAAACTCTGCTCAGATTACTCCAGTCATTCCACCTCATCAAGGCCCCTGCACGGCTGTATCATTTGAATCAATATCAGTGTTTGCTTTGGTTACATTCCAAAACACATATCACGTATATCTTTGTCTCCTTTCCATAAAGGTATTCATTCTGTCTTCACCCAACCGTTACATTTCTGTTAAGCTGCCACTTAACCTCTTTCTTCTTCTTCAGCTTCCCTAGTTTCTTCTTATTCAATAAATATTTACTAAACATAATGTACCAGGAGCTGTGCTGTGTTGTGTGCGCGCTCATTTTCTAACTATGCAGAAGACAACTGGTAATTTCTATTCAACACAATTTGAACACAACTGCAAAGATCTCATCTCTCACTCACCACTTTTTTGTATACCTTCCCTTATGTTGGCAAATAATGTAAAACAAATAATGTAAACTCAAAACTGTCACTGAAGAATAGCTACGTAGTGGCTGTGTTGAGAGCACTGCAATATCTAACGCATACAATGAGGGAAATGATCTGAATCTTGAAACTGATTTCATGGGTTACTGACACTTATACTCTACAGCCTACCACACATACTGTAATCATCTTTGTTAAAATGACATGCTTAGTTATTAGGCAAGGAAAGTCATGGTCTGTTTAACGACTTGTTTTGTAGACTATCAGAGTGTCAAAAATAGTTTGAAATGAAGTAGGTTGTTAGCCCCATGAATATTTCTTTTTTCTAAAGCTTATAGAAGTTTTCACTGATTCTCTTCAACTCCAACTCAACCACCATGTTGCTATTTAGGAGAGTAGCATTTTAGAGCCAGAGGTATGGTGTGAGTCATCTTGTCTAACTCCTTGTGTCACAGATTAGAAAACCAAGCCCCACAGAATTTAAGTGATAAGTTTAAAGCTTCATAATTATCCAGTGGCAAAACTAAGACTAAAAGTTGTCATGACCTCAGTTCACTACTCTTCCTGTAACAACACATATTACATAAAAAAACAAAACAAAACAAAACAGAACAGTGAAGGTGGCAACCCTAAAAATGATGCTACTTTTGGCATCCAAAACTAAAGGTCATTTAGGAACTGAAAGTTCCCACTCTGAGTGTTGTGTAGCATCTTTTAGGTATAAAAAAATGAGCAATAAGCTTTATAAGTTAATGTGACATTAACTTTTTATCACTGAGTTATAGACCAGTAAATGGGCATAACAGCCATGACTGCCATAGCAATGACAGGGAATGAACATGCCAACATTTTATGCAAGTAAATCTCTAGTATAAAACCGATATACATATCATTTATTTGCAAGATGCTTCAAGTCCTAGGAAAGGTAACTAAAATTCACCCTTAAGTACTATCTAGTGGCAATACACGAAAACGGCATTGTTACAGAACTGAAGGCAAGGGATCAAATTAATCTTGAAATCAGAGTTAAAGGACTTAAGAAATGCCTTTCTTTCACTTCCAAAGAAGATGGGCATAACTGCTGTGAATTTAATCATGATAAAACACTGAGCAAAGTTAAAAGTGAGGAAGCAATGGAAGGTTAAGGTAGTGAAAACAATAAAGGAGTTAATAATAAAAACTGAATGGTACCAACAGAATAAAAATACATTCTTGGTCATCTTCCTTTTGAATTTACATGGCAATTGGTGGTTAAAAGAAATTTAAAGAGACTGTTTTACTCAGAGTAAATATATGCTTGATATTAATAGGATCATGATAAAGTTGGGTACTTCAAGGAGAACAGGCAAAATATTTTCATTTAATTTCATGTTAATTTTGCATGCTTTCTTTAAACTATCATTGGTCTTCTTTCCATTGCTTGGAAACGGATCAATGAAGGAACTGACTTCACATATCAAGGAATACCTAGGGTTAAAATTTTTAATAACAGACATACCTGTTCTTCTATTTTATCTTGTCTGTCAAGAGCAGCTTCAACAGCATCAAAGAACTCTTCTTCATTAATTAGACTGTTGGGGCCTTCCTATTCATGGAAAAAAGGTGATTTAAGAAAATGGAAAACACTGGTAATTCTGGCATTAACTCTAGGGGAAAGTTGAAAAGTGACTCAATAAACGTTTCTGAAGCAGTTAGTACACTAAGTAATATTACATAAAAGATGAGTAACATATGCTCTGTGTAGAATCATGAGTATAACAATTAATTCCTTCACTCAGTACTCATATACTTACTGCATCTTGATCAATATTGTGTTGGGGCAATTATCTAGAATAAATGACTGGTGAACTGTGGTCCATGGGCCAAATCCAGTCCACTGCTTACTTTCGTATGGACTTTAAGCTAAAAATTTCATTTTTTAAAAAATTTATCTTTATTGTTGTAAGTATTATTATGTCCATTCCCCCCCTTGACCCCCTCCATGCCACATCTGCCCCCACCACCCAGGCCTTCCTCACACTATTATCTGTGTCCATGGGTTATGCATATATGCATGTAACTTTTTTAATTAATCTCTCCCCATCCATTCCCCCATCCCTGCCTTCCCTCTGAATGAATAACATCAACAATATTAATGACAATTACCAGATGTATTCTTATATATTTTTCAATTGAAAAATATGATGAAAAAATAGTTTATAAAATTCAAATATACATGTATGTATACGGAAGATTTTATTAATTGCTTAACAAAAAAAAGTATGAGGAAAGAAGTTGGTTTCACACATTTTCAAACATAAAGACAAAGCAATTATAATAGTTTGTGTTATGCTGTGGATAAGACCTCACAGCACATTGCACAAACTAAAATCTCTTGTCTGCACAAAGTACTGAGGTTTTTCCTCCATTGGTTGCTTTTAATTAAAAAAGTGAGTTAGAAGATAACATTAAAAATTATTGTCCTCACAGGGGATATAAAAACTTGTCCTATAAAGTGAACAGGCATAATAATGAGCCTTTTAAAGCCTATACTAGAGATATTCCAAGATGGTGGCAGATTGAGTGGGAGCTACACTGACACTCTCCTAGGATCAAACTGGAATTACAACTAAAATATAGAAAAACCATCCTGAATAATCAACTGCAACTGGAGACGAGCTGGAGAGCACTCTCATAACCAAGGAGGAAAAGGGGAGACTGCATAGAGACTGGAAGGAAGTGCAGAGGCAAGAGAGGGCTGGAGGGGCTCCCACAGGCAGCAGCTGAAAGTCCAGAAGGATATCTCAGCTGTGGGGGGATTACCACTGAGAACTCTGGGGCCTAAATCCCAAGCTGGGCATCCCAGCTCAGAGCACCAGAAGTGAGAAAGGTGCCCACATAACATCTGGCCGTGAAAAAGCAGCCAGGTTTCTCTCTGCCAGGGAGATGGCTGGAAATGCAGGCACCCTCTTAAATGGTCAACACACAAAGGTTCCTGTGCAGCCACTCACCTTGGGCTCCAATGGAGGGAGGGCAGAGTGGACTAGAGCTGTGTGAGGAGAATCTCGGAGTGCTGGCTTGGGGGATAGAGCTCAGAGGGCAAATATTTGTATTCCTTTGCTGAGTCATT